AAGGTGAAACATCAAAGGCCAAAAAGTGTACAGGAGAGCAGGTAAAGGCAAATTAAGGACATCAACAGGACAAACATTGAGGAATTTAGAAGAAAACTAGCAAAAATAAGCAGAATGCTGCAGAAATGAATAAAAACGACTCAAAAAAGCCGCCCTTATTGGAATGAGTTTGGGTTTCTTAATCATATCTCATGCTCTCAGCTGATGAAAACTCTTCTGTGCCAAATAGAAAGAGAGTCGCGCGACTGATTTTCGTGGACCCTTTTAAGCTAAAAATTACCAAACTCTGCAGATTTGGTTGCTAAAAACCTTGATAAAATGGCTGGAAAACCAGCAAATTTTGCAATTTTTTTAGCCAAATGCTGGTTCAACATAGCAGGGTTTTTAAACTCAAAGAGCCAATGATCCTGAGTGGACAAGAAAATCTGAATCGTAAACTTACCCCAGCTTGTACCATGACACTCGTTTTCGGGCCAAGATTAATCGTCCGGCCATCCGCTCTAATCAGAAGATTGAGTCCTCTGGAACCGGACTCACCACCTGAAAAAAAAAACGATCTCAACTCATGAATAAAAGAACAGTCGGTGTGAGTTTACGCGCTCATTTTGTGCACCCGCACTATGTTATATTCGTTATTTAGAAGACGATTATGTTAAAAAATGAGATGGGGATTCCTACACTTGCTGAGGCCAAAACTGCTTGAACAAATCGTCGGCTCGTTCCTCTTTTGCCCCAATTGTGTCCCAATAGGATTTCCCATTGAATGTGTCGGTTGAATTATTTATCTGTCTGTTTTTGAACCGCAATAACCGCAGGAGACGGAAAAGACAGAAGAGCAGAAAAATATACTGAACATAACAAACAAACATGGTCATTATTTCATTGACTGTTACCGATTCAATTGACTAGAAAATGTGATTAGTAAACCCCGAAACAAAAAAAAACACAAAAATCCAGATCCTGCAAAGCTGCGCCTAAAATTCGCACTCAATTTGTCGATGGGAATTTATCTAATAGTAATGCTGGTTTTATTAATCTCGCTCAATTCAATGCTGTAAAATGCATTAAAATCGCCCGGGGGCTTCGGCATTTAGAACATTTCGGACGCAATTTGCCATACGGTCGACTGTAATATGCAGGATTGACCTGCCAAAAGGCAAACACGCTCCGCTAATGGAGACCGACAGATCAAAAGAATTGATTAACGTATATTAAATTAGCAATTTCATTGTTTTTAATCCGGTATATATTCAGCAGGCGAAAAATCGAGATAAAAGGTTGATTTGGTGTCATAGACTTTCAAAAGACGCTTCAGAAGAAGGGATCAGATTTGGTCGGGTTCTGCACTCCAGCTTTCAAAAAGGCACTTCCTGATAGCTGATTGAGCAGGCTTTAAGGGATGATTTGCGGGCATCGTGGTGAAAATTTGGGTTTAATCCGCGATAAAGTTGTTTTCAAATCAATTCTGGAGGTTTAGATGGTTTTTTGACTTGCGGTTTCTGCATTATAATTTTCAAGTGGCTTTTTCTCCATAACTGGACCAGATCTCCACTTTGAAAATTTGACGACCTTTAAAGGAATATTTGCGTTTATCGCTGTGTGAGTTTAGGATGAATCCGTTAAAGAGTTGCGTCGAAATGTATTCTGGAAGTTTGGGCGGTTTTTTGACTTTGCGCAGTTTCCGCACACCAGTTTTCAAGTGCGCATTTCTCAATAATCCGACAAAGTCTCAACTTGAGAACATTAAGGGCCTTTAAAAAAATATCCATGTTTATTGCAGTGTGAATATATAAATAAATAAACAAAATCCATTAAGGAGTTGTTTGGAAACGATTGTGGAAACTTTGAGCGTTTTTTTGAATTTGAGCTGTTTCTGCGCTGCACTTTTCAAAATGCAGTTTCTCAATAACCGGACAAGATTTGATCCGGAAAATTTGAACAGCCCTTACGGAAAAGTTCAAATCCGATTCCTGATAAATTTCAGCGAAATCTTTTAGGAGATTGCATTAAAATGTATTCTGAAAACTTGGACGATTTTTTGACTTTGCGCGGGTTCTGCACTTCTGTTTTCGAAAGGCCATTTCTCAATAATGCGGCAGGATCTCAACTTTTGAATTTCAGTAGGTTTTATTGGAACCTTCACGTTCAGTGCGTTGTCAATTTGGGCTAAATACTTTAAGGAGTTGCTTTGAACTAAATTCTGGAAATTTGGGCGTTTTTTCGACGTTGCGCGGTTTCTGCAATACAGTTTTTAAGTGGCTATTTCTCAATAATTGGACGAGAGCTCCACTTTGAAAATTTTGCGACCTTTAAGGGAATATTTACGTTTATCGCGGTGTGAGTTTAGGTTGAATCCGTTAAAGAGTTGCGTCGAAATGTATTCTGGAAGTTTGGGGGTTTTTGCCTTTGCGCAGTTTCCGCCCCCCAGTTTTAAAGTGCGCATTTCTCAATAATCCGACAAAGTCTCAACTTGAGAACATTAAGGGCCTTTAAAAAAATATCCATGTTTATTGCAGTGTGAATCTAAACAAAATCCATTAAGGAGTTGTTTGGAA